TGCTGGTTACATATACTGTTGGTTACATTGTACTGTTTATTGGTGCTGGTTACATATACTGTTGGTTACATTGTACTGTTTATTGGTGCTGGTTACATGTACAGTATATTGATGCTGGTTACATATACTGTTGGTTACATTGTACTGTTTATTGATGGTGGTTATATGTTGTATTGTATATTGGTGTTGGTTACATGTACAGTATATTGATGCTGGTTACATTGTACTGTTTATTGGTGCTGGTTACATGTACTGTATATTGATGCTGGTTACATATACTGTATATTGATGCTGGTTACATATACTATTGGTTACATTGTACTGTTTATTGATGGTGGTTATATGTTGTATTGTATATTGGTGTTGGTTACATGTACTGTATATTGGTGCTGGTTACATTGTACTGTATATTGGTGCTGGTTACATGTACAGTATATTGATGCTGGTTACATATACTGTATATTGGTGCTGGTTACATGTACTGTATATTAGTGCTGGTTACATGTACAGTATCATCAATATACTGTACATGTAACCAGCACCAATAAATAGTACAATGTAACCAACAGTATATGTAACCAGCATCAATAATAAACAGTACAATGTAACCAGGGTGCTGGTTACGTGTACAGTATATTGATGGTGGTTACATATACTGTTGGTTACATTGTATTGTTTATTGATGGTTATATGTTGTATTGTATATTGGTGTTGGTTTAGGCTTTAGTACAAAAAATAAAGCTTATGTTTAGACATATGGTTTATAATAGAAGTTGTATACTAAATTTCAGTGTTAGCTATTTCGTTTTGGTAACAACATCATTAATGTATGAACCGTAATTGGACCGGTAGTACTGTGTATTGAAGATTATCATTATTAACTTAGAACCCATAGAATGGTTTTACTTACAAAGGAAACAAATTTTCATATCTGCTGTGCAACTTTCAAAATTGGTGAAACATTTACTACACAATGTATCAGTAGCTAGTTGAACCTTCAGAAAAGAAACGTAAGGAATTTCAACGTGTACCCGACAACAGATGGGTTCCTCGTTCTGTCAGTAGAGGGAGTATAGGAATGAAAACAGTAATGTTTAGGAAAGGGTCTCGTCGAAGTGTCTTGGTAAACTTTGGGGAGAAAAAGTTGGTAAGGTGCATTAAGGGTATTTTTCGGAAAGTTAGAATACGTGTACATCATTTTTATGACAATATATATTAATTTCTTCAAACGCTCCGACACGGGCCATATTTTATATCCTATGAAAAACAAATGGCCCTTAAGTCAGATCAATAAAATTTAATCAACATTTTGTGTGAATCGTGACCGGTATAAAAATAAACACAATACTGTTCACATAATTATCAGTTGAAACGCCTTAAATTGAAATCTAGAAAAAAATAGTGCTTTAGAAAATTTCTGAACTTTTTATTATTAACTTAATGACAAGTGTTGCTTAAGGTAAATCTATTAATGGCCTAATTATTAATAGTGTTAAATCACACTAGACCATTACTTGCGTTAGTCTTAATTAGTGCAGTGCAAATATCAAATTAGTGGTTTGCAGAAAAACAGTCTACTGTCTAGTGTGATTTTTAACATTATTATTAGAACTATTGGTTGGTGGGATTTAACACTGTTATTAGAACTATTGGTTGCTGGGTTTTAACACTGTTATTAGAACTATTGGTTGATGGGTTTTAACTGTTATTAGAACTATTGGTTGTGGGTTTTAACACTGTTATTAGAACTATTGGTTGATGGGTTTTAACACTGTTATTAGAACTATTGGTTGGTGGGTTTTAACACTGTTATTAGAACTATTGGTTGGTGGGTTTTAACACTGTTATTAGAACTATTGGTTGGTGGGTTTTAACACTGTTATTAGAACTATTTGTTGGTGGGCTTTAACACTGTTATTAGAACTATTAGTTGGTGGGTTTTAACACTGTTATTAGAACTATTGGTTGATGGGTTTTAACACTGTTATTAGAACAATTGGTTGGTGGGTTGTAACACTGTTATTAGAACTATTGGTTGGTGGGTTGTAACACTGTTTAAAATCGTAGCAGTAGCTCATTTTATTTTAATATAGTTTTCTTTATTAAAAAGTTACATCTCGTTGATTGAAATCCCCATTACACCGATTTAATATTACCCAGAATCCCCATTACACAGATATTCTCCAATGATAAACTGTGAAATCGGAAACTCGCTATGTGTGACGTGTATAAAACTGCCGAGTTACTTAGTAACTTACTTCTAGACAAAACACTTTTCTGTAACGTTGATTTGGTGTTTAATAAAATAAGGACAACTCTACTGACAGGGCTTACTTATTACCATAAGATAAAAGCGATTCTAAAATATAATCCACAAGTGTAGATTTAAAAGTTAACAAGACAAGGATCAAATGGGTGGAAAACTAGGCTTCGCTAGATTTTAAGTTTCGTGAAACATAAAGACGCCACCGTCGGATATAAACCGCTTACAAAAAAAATAATTACTTGCAGACTACAACAATTATGGTGATAAATTAAAAAAATATCAAATGGAAAAATTCGAATAAGAGTAAAGAACATATTTCAGTTTTAATACAATAAGCGGGCAACAAATTCTAAAATATTTACTCTAAAATGCGCTAGGTGGCACCTGCTACAATCTATTGAATTTTCTCAACATACAAACGTAGCAGGTGGTAGGTATCGAAACACACGGTAATATGTCGTGCGGCCAAAACACATACTGTGTGTTATTAACAGGAGTGATAGTTTAGCGATTTTCCACCTTCTGTATCTCGGACTGTGGTAATCCAAACTATCAAATATTTTCACTGGATGTGCTCTACTGGACTCTTGCTTCATATACCAAATTTAAAGACAATCCATTAAGAAATACCTGAAATATAAAATCTCCAATTTTGATTGAGTTTCCACCTATATTTTTTTTTCTTATTACCAAACGTACGGAAACTTTATTTGATAGAAAAATATACTTAACTTTCATCTTGTTTTTTTTTCAAATTTGGTCTAAATACAAGCCACATTTGCAGTGTTATTCAATAAAAAACCGCTCAATTTATGACTACAATTTCTGTGCACGCCTACCAAAACGTCGGCCCTGCATGGCCAGGTGGTTAGGGTGCTCGGCTCACAATTTGAGGGTCGCGGGTTCAAATTCCTGTCCCACCAAACATTCTCGCTCGTTCAGTTGATAAGAATTTTACAACAAATATTCATTCATTAGTTAGCTAGGCCTCGTTTTTTGTCCAAAATATGCTATAAGTGTAGCTATCAGTTTGGCCCCTAATTGTACTTTCATTCCTTTAAGTCACACACTGATACATTGAACAACACCCACCCC